TTACGTAGAACAGGATTCCGTCCATGATGGGACTTTGGGGAGCTTAGTCGACACATTAGAGTAGTGCCCCTGAAATCCGCAGTCTTTTATTTTTATTATTATTATTGATCGCAGAGAGGAAGGGAGAGGGAGAGAGAGAGAGAGAAACATCAATGATGAGAATCATGGATCAGCTCCCTCCTCCACGCCCCCCACTGGGGATCCAGCCCACAACCCAGGCCTGTGCCCTGACCAGAATCGAACCCAGGACCCTTCAGTCCACAGGTCAACACTCTATCCACTGAGCCAAACCACCTGCCTCTCCCTTGCGCACCTTCAAAGAGGAGGCGGGAGAAGTCCGCTGCCCGTGTTCCCAGCTCCCCTGGCAGGTGAGGGTTGCCATGTGACTGTTCTGGCAGTGAGATGGGGAAGGACATAGGATTCCCGATTCCCGAATAAGAGATGGGTGAGGAAGCAAAAGGGCCTAGCGGCTAGCAGCTGTTAGGCAAACTCCTTAGTCAACAGAGCCAAATACCAACAGTACAACGATTGAAATTTCTTTGGAGAGCCACATTTTTTAAGCTTAAACTATATAGGTAGGTACATTGTTAGTAACTTCATTAGGGTACTCCCAAGGCTTAGGAAGAGCCACACTCAAAGGGCCAAAGAGCCGCATGTGGCTTGCGAGCCGCAGTTTGCCGACCACGGGCCTAGCCCATTCTCCTTACCTTCCTGATCCCTCCCTTTGCAGGCAGCTTGACGCTGGAAATGGTGACAGCCATCACGGGATGACGAAGCAGCGAGCCCAGAATGAGAAGCCAGCCTAGCAAGGGCCGCAGAGGGGAAGGGGCGAACTAGGTCAGCGATGACAATGCCGAGTAGCTGGTCCAGCGTCAGGCACCATCCACCGCCAGACCCCTTGCTCTGCAGGCAGACACGCCCTCACTGGCCTCTGATTGAGGACGCAGGTACTCACAGCTGAACACAATCAGTGGGGCGCCCAGTCACTTGAACTTTTTCTTTGTGGAAACGAAAACAGAACTAAATTATTGACACCTGATCATTTACACTATGCTTGTTTGTTGGAAGAGTATTGGGTTGTTGGAAGAAACACAGAGAAGAATTATCTTTATTTAAAAGGTTAGGCCATTTTATGCCCGGCCGGCATGGCTCAGGAGGTCATGGTTTGATTCCTGCTCAGGGCACATGCCGGGGTTGTGGGCTCGATCTCCATGGTGGGGGGGGGGGGGGGCGTGCAGAAGGCAGTCAATCAATGGTTCTCTCTCATCATTGATGTTTCTATCTCTCCCTTCCTCTCTGAAGTCAATAAAATACACACACACACACACACACACACACACACACACACACACACACTGAGTGGCCAGATTATTATGACCACCTGATGTTTGTAGGCAAATTAGCTATAATTTCGCGCTGAAGTTGCTAGAGGGCTGGACCATTATAAATAGGAAAGCAGGTTGTTTGCCGTGACAGTAGAAGTGATTTTTTTCTGAAGATATGGGTAAACAATGTGATTTAACAGCCTTTGAACGTAGGAGATATATATATATATATATATAAATTTTTAAAGGTTTGGTCATTTTTTTGAAGTTACATTAATCTTTTTTAAAATATATTTTTATTGACTTCAGAGAGGAAGGGAGAAGGAGAGGGAGAAATACTAGCATCAATGATGAGAGAGAATCATGGGTTGGCTGCCTCCTGCATGCCCCCTACTGGGGTTTCGAGCCCACAACCCAGGCATGTGCCGTTGACCAGAACCGAACGCAGGACCCCCTAGTCTGCAGGCCAATGCTCTATCCACTGAGCCAACCCGGCCAGGGCAGGTTGGGTCATTTTCACTGCAGAAGCAGAGAGGGGCCCCTCTGGCCACAGTGCACGTACAAGTTCTGAGGGCTGTGTGTGCAGATAATTCCTCTGAGACGAAATACCACACTGGGAGCTGAGAGGGCTAGGTTCGGATTAGATGTTCAGCTAAATATGGAATCATGAACTTACAGCTGTGTCCGAATTCATTTCTGCCCGCTGCATCGTTTGTAGGATGCTTTCTTTGAAAGTAACAGAAAACTCCACTCAAAATGGCTTAAACAAGAAGGAAATTCGTCTCCTACGATGGGAAAGTGTAGAGATTGATAATGTCATTGAGGACACCTCCACCCTGCAGCCCCTCAGTACCACCTTCATCTTAAGTCTACTACCCTCATGGCTGCAAGATGTCTAATGGATGCTGCACGCCTCTTTATTCAAGCCAGTGTGGTGGTCAGGGCGTGTGGGGGGAGGAGAGAGAGTATTTCCCATTCAATAGAGGAAAAGTCCTGAGCTTTGTGATGATTGGAAGACCTTGAACCAATCAAGACCAGGGAATGCCGAGAGCTGATTAAGTTAGGCCACTATTGTGCCAAAGGGGCTGCATTTATCAGTTTGATGAACCAGGGCCCGCCTCTCCAGGTGAGGTGCTTACAATCCCACCCAACCGCAGAGCTGCTACTTCATGGTGAAGGGGCAGAATGGCTCTTGGGAGAGCAACCCCCACTCTCCCCACCCCCCACACCTGTGTAAATGACTGAGCTGGACTGGCTGACCTCTAGGGATCTTTCCAGATCTAAACCAGCGGTGATTCTATGAGCAGAGTGCAAGCCTATCTTTGTAGTCATCTTTTTTATTCCATTCCATGTTCCTTTCTTTTATAATAGAGGCCCGATGCACGAAATTTGTGCAAGGGGCTTCATCCGGAAGGTCGTTGGGCTGTCCGGTCTAATGAGCATATTATGCTTTTATTATTATAGGTTGTCCTTTTCTGCCCCTGCCTACAGGCCTCTGTGGAAAAGAACCCCCAAATGAAGCTCAGGCTGGGGCCCGGGAGAGGACGCGAAGCTGACAGGGGACTTGTGAGGGTCCCTGTGCACTTCAGGGCAGAATGGAATGATGCCTTATCCATCAGGCACCAGGTGGACATGCCAACGTGGGGTGAGTGACGTGGATGTGTGGGACCCTCCGTGGAGGCGATGTTTCTCAGGCTCTAAAGCTCCCTTCTCTAGAGAATGCCCCAGCCCTTCAGGAAAAGGAAGGAAGCCTTCTCACACAATTCTATTTTCCTGGTGATTTGCATTTTTAAAAGGTTTAGTACTCACATGGTTAACACGGGGAAATCTCTGAGCGTCTTGAGGGCGTGGTCCAGGGTTTGCACAAAACGTTTCCGAATAGAAAATGGGCTGTGGGTCTCCACTCACCCCACACACTTTGGTAAATACTATCTTTTCTCTTGCTTCTTTTTAAATGGCTGCGCTGAGAATGCTACCAGGTGATTGCTAGGAGCTGACTTGTGAACGGATGGGGCACTTCTGCTGTGCAGAGGAACAAAGACTTTTTTATTGGTCATCAACTGAGGCATATACCTGTCTGATGGCGCTGGCTCACGCCGCACATGCTCAGTCGAGCAAAAATGTTCCTAACGAACACAACCTAGCACAGCGGCACCACCCAGAAGCTCAGTCGCAGGCTGACCCTGTGCACACGCCCTCCAGTTGTATTTTCACCCTGAACTGTAGAGACGGCAGGCTAGGTCCTGGGGGCCTGGGGGAGGGCAATATCCAAAGGGGCTTCACGTCGGTGTCCCTGCCTTCCTGGCCTCTCTCTCGGCGGGGACAGGTGCTGGATAGAGATCTGTTGAGTTGGGGCAGCAGCGGGAGGAGCTCTCTCTAGAGATTGCCATTCGTGGTGGCACGCCGTCCTGTACAGTTTGGTCTGCTCTTGACTTATAGGTGGACGGCCCCCTCCCCCCTCCCCAGCCCCGGTTTTCCTGAAAGAATGACAGCGGCACTGAAGGCATCCTCCGCCCCGCACGGTCCGGAGCGACCGCCTCTCCCCTCCCCTCCCCTCCAGCTTTTCCCATTCATCAGGACTCGTTCCCAGCCCAGCCGGGGGCCCGGCAGGCGGGGGTGACAAAGGAACGGGGTGGGTGCGGCCGGGGCTCCGAGCCTCCCGCCGCCGACCGCCCCCCACGTGCGCCCGGCCCCGGCCCTTTTGTCCCCGGCCCCGCGCGCGGCCCGGCTCGGGGGCGGGGGTGACGACCCCGAGCGGCCCCCACCTCAGCGGCGGCCGCCCGCGCGCCCCGAGGGCCCGGCCCCCTCCCCCCACCCCGCCCCGATCCCCGGCGCCCGCCCGATCGCCGTGACGTGTCGGGCGGCGCGCGCATGCGCCGCTCAGCCCCCGGCCCCCTTCCCGCGGCCCGCGCCGCCCGACGGGCGGGAGTGGGCGGGGCCTGCGGGGCCCGAGGCCGCGCGGCCGGAGCGGGAGGCGGGCGGGGTGCGCCGGGCGGGTGCGCGAGGCCGGCGAGCGGGTCCGCGGCCCGGGCGGCGGAGGGGGAGGAGCCGAAGGCGGCGGCCGCGGCTCCCGCCCGCACGGCCAGCCAGTCCCGCGCCGCCCCCTCCCACTCCCCGGCGGGCGGCGGCGGGCGGAGGCGGAGGAGGGAGCGTCTCTGCCGCCGCCTCCTGGTCCCCGGCGCGGAGCTGCCGCCGCCACCTCCTCCCCGAGCGGCGATCGTCCCTCCGTGGTCCCGCCGCGGCCCCCCCACCCCCGAGCGGCAGAGCCGCCCCGCGCCGCGCCGGAGCCGGCCTCGCCGAGGGAGCGCTCGCGGCCTCGCGGCCCCGCGCGGGGCGGACGGGCGGAGAGCAGATCGCGGCGCCGCGCGGTCCCCGAGGAGCCGCACGCCGGGCAGCGCGGCCCGAGCAGCGCGAGGAGCCGCGGGCGGGCGGGCGGCGCCGGGCCCGGGCCGCCCTCGCTCCCGGCCCCGCCGCCCGCGCCGCGCCGGGGCGGTCGCCCGCAGAGGAAGGCGCCGCAGTCCCCGGGCCTCGCCGCCCCGCTCGAGCGTCCTCAGCACCGAGGGCTCGCGCGTCCCGAGGGGAGGAGGCGATCCCGGGGCCGGGCACTGAGCTCGTGGGCGCCCCCACCCCCGTTTGCGGAGCCCTCCGCGCTGCGGCCACTGTCCCCCCCGGACCATGGCCGACGACGACGTGCTGTTCGAGGATGTGTACGAGCTGTGCGAGGTGATCGGCAAGTGAGTGGCCGCGAGGGAGCGGGCGGGTGGGAAAATGCCCGGCGGGGATGCCCGGGGCCGGCCGCACCCGATCCCGCGCCGGGCCCGACCCCTGCCCTGCGGCCCCTCCCCCGCCCGGGTCCGGCGCACCCCGAGTCTCTCCAGACGGTCCCCGGACCTCCTGCCGGGCGGGGGCTGGGGGGCTCCCGGCGCTCGGCGGCCCCCGAGCCCAGAACGGCCAGCCCACGAGGCGTGGAGCCGGCTGCCCGCCGCTGTCTGCATGTTCCCCGCCGGCTGCCCGGGGACGTGGCCCGAGCGATTGTGTAGTTGCTCCCCCGGAACAGTTGGGGTTATTGTTACCTGGCGTGTGGACCGGGAACGAAAAGAGCAGCTGGCTGGGATCGGCGAGCGAGCGAGAGGGCGTCCAGGGGTTTTAATTGCGGGGTGTGTGTCTATTGTGCGGGATATTAGATAGATGCCTTTGTGTGCGCCCCATGCACGGATGGCGGGGGGCGGGGGGTCCTTTAAGACCGGGTGCTTTCCGTGGGAGCAAATCCCTCACCTGGTGTCGACCAACGTGGAAAGAGTTGGGGGGTCGGAATGGTGAACGCCTCGTTATGCAATGCCTGGGAAATCAGGGTTCGCGGCTCCCGCGGCTGCCGGGCTGGTGGCGAGCGTGGCAGAGCCGTCCGCTTTGAGTCACCGAGCGAGGCTGGAAGACAGAACTGACAGGGCAGACGCTCATCCTTTCATCCGTGCCGTGTCATGGCACCGGGGCCAGGCAGGGCATCGGGCTCATCCCCGTGTGCTGGAGAATTCCATCTGCCCTTCCTCATCTAATTGTCCATCCCCCAAATGTGTTTTTGAATAGTTTCCTTTTCATTCTTGTCAAACACTCGGCCGAGTGCAGGAGCCTGCTAATCTGCCCGGGAGGGAAGCGCTTGGCAATCTGAAGTTCATTTCCTAGTTCCGTGTGTCGTCCGTGGCTTTGGAAGTTGAGGAGATCAGACTGAGGGGCGATTTTTAGCTTCTTCGTGGCTTGCTCCATAGCTACCACTGGACTGTTTCACCTCTTGGGAAGTGGGGCTCTGTGGGCTATTGTCAGGTCTGCAGTTGGGAAATGAAAGCGAGACCTTAGGGCAGTTGGCTCTTTGAAGTTGTCTGCAGCGCTGGATTGCCATGTAAGTGCTGATAACTCATCTTGCCCCTTTGCATGTTGAGGGATGACGGCGTTGCCTCACCTGGGGATTGCGGGGAGCGCTTGCTCCACACTTTGCTCAGACTCAGTTGATAAGGCGACATGTTCCTCCTTGCCCTATTGTTTCTTCACGACCGGCCTGGGGATTAGAAGAAGATCCAGATGTGCTCCCACGAAGTGATGGCGGAAGTGCCCTAGAGCCAGCGCTGTCCAAGAGGGAGAGAGGGGAGCCATGGATGTCATTTTACATGTCGGTTTCCATGTGTGCGTTTTCTAAAAGCCACCTTGAGAAGATGATAAGCACATAGGTGCCGGGACTTTTAATAAAATATTGTCTTGCGCCCCATAGATGCAAACTACGATCATTTCAACATGTAATCGGGAGAGAAATTATTAATGAGATATTTTACAGCCTTTTCCTTCGTACCCGGTCTGTGAAAGCCAGTGTGTATTTTACACTAACAACATCTCCATGCGGACACTCCGCTACATTTGCAGGGGAAAAATTTGACCTGAATTTAGTTTTCATAAAATTTGCATTTGCGGAAGTAGAGGCACATACCCAAGTTCCAAGCATACCTAAAAGTTTTCCAATAACGGAATCAACTATCTCTTTGTAAATTTAAATTTAAATGAATCAAAACGAAATAAAATGCAAAATTCAGTTTCTCGGCTGGACTGGCCACATGTAAAGTGCTCAGTAGCCCTGTGTGAACAGCACAATTCTAGAGAGGCAAATGGAAAAAACAAACCCGTTTCTTCATTTTTAACACCCAGTAGGGGTGTGAATTAGGTATTTCCCCAAAGCCCCCAAATGATTGTGTGTGTGTGTGTGGGGGGGGTAAATATTGTTTGTTATATCTTAGTTATATTTGGTTTAAATGAGCCAGCCAAGTCATAATTGGAAACTGTGAGGTTAGGATGTTATTTATATTGCGATGACGGAATATAGCCATCATTAAATCAATGCTAGTTACTAGTCCTGATTCCTTAGGGTCTGGGAGAGTGATGGTATCGCTCTTTGGATATGGAAAAAAAGTGGTCAGCACCACATTAGCGCAATCAATATTCTGCTGACTTGTAATTGATAGAATATTTTCAGGAAACACTTCTGATAGGACTGAATTCATCGCTTCTGTTGCTTCCGCGCTGCATGAGGAGGGAGAGCAAGGTAATTTTGAGGAGGGAGAGTCTCAGTATTCTGTGACTCCCTTAACTACGGTGCATGTGAAATCTCATTCAGATCCTACAAATTCTGACTTGGTTAGTGCCACTTATGTCATTCCACGCAGTAATGAGTTCAGGGGAACCTTCGTGGAAAGAGTGTAATGCTAGTGTTCCTGTCCTGGGTAAAGGTTGAAGGTTTCTCCCTAAATCATCTCAGCATATATTGATCTGGGCCTCGAAATTCACTTGAGATTTTCTTGCGGAAGCCTCGACAGAATACATTTTAACTTAGAATTTGTTCCACTTTGCATTTAAGCAGAAATGCCTTGACCGTGTTCATTTGCACTGAAAAGCTTTGTGTTGATCTCTATCCAAGTTCTCTGGGATTGTGATTTTCTTTTATGCCAAATTAGTACAAGTCGGTTTTGACCCCGGGTCTTAATAGGTTTAAATTTTCATGGAGATGCTAGATTGTACTTTTCAAGATCAGCTGACCACCCACTCACTCTCCTACCTCACACTCTAATCCACTCTCTTTAAAGGAATCACGTGCCTGATTCCTTATGAATATTGAAAAGATGTTACCTCTTTTTTAAAAAAGATTTAAAATATTTCCCATGTTTCTGATTTTTGAAAGTTTTACAAAGGATCCTTTGAACGCCTCTTGTTTCCATAACATTTTCCTACGTAACATCTTTCAACAACTGAAACAGATCTCCAACGATGGGACCTTATCATAGTCCCAGAACTTTGTCTTAGCAAATTACCGGAAATGGAAGGTGTTATGCAAATATAGGTAACTGGCTAATGTTTTTCATGATCGTCTACTTCAGTGGTTCTCAACCTTCCTAATGCTGCGACCCTTTAATACAGATCCTCATGTTGTGGTGACCCCCAATTTCATTGTTACAAATTGAACATAATTAAAGCATAGTGATTCATCACAAAAACAATATGTAATTATATCTGTGTTTTCCAATGGTCTTAGGCGACCCCTGTGAAAGGGTCGTTCAACCCCCAAAGGGGTCGCGACCCACAGGTTGAGAACTGCTGGCCTACTTCATCTTTGGCAGATTTCTAGTTTTACAGGTAAGTATACCATCGGTGATATTGCGGGAAGGAAATTGGAAGATGATTCATCCAAATGAAAACATAGACATGACTGCCTTCAGAGGCCAGGAGTTTTCGTGGAAGAGAAGAGTAGCCAGTTGCACCCTGTCTTCATCTCGCGTGGGCTGAATGTGTGCCCGTGGGTTCAGTAACCTGCACCTTCTTACTTCCCTGCTTTGGGAGGACACATGGTCAAATGGGGACCCTGCAGCATGGTCCTGCCTGGGGATGGCATGCTGTGTTTGTGAAGCCGGCTGTATTTGCTTACACCTCAAGAGTTCTCATCATATTTAATTACAGTTATTTATTTATGGCTCTCCCTCCCCAGTTAACAGGGCGCTTCCTGAGGGCAGGAAGCATATCTTTCTCCATTACTTACCCCCAGCCCTGCAAGGTAACCGTCCTTCATTAGCTATGGAATGAATTGAGCCCTTTTAATAAAATCTCGTTAAAAGACCAGACGCCTATTTATCAACCTCCCAGCAATTACTGTGGGAAAGGCTGTATTGCTTTAAAGGAGTGGTTCTCCACCTGGCTGCATGTTAGAATCGCCAGGGGAGCTTTTGAGACAGATCCATGGCCCTGTGTCAGAGCAATGAAATCAGGATCCCAGGAATGGGGTCTGGTCACTGATAATTCTGTAAAGCTCGCTAAATGCTTCTAATGAGCGGCTACAATTGACAGGCATTGTTTTGTGTTTGTAATATTTGGGGTCTGGCTTTTAAAAAGTAGAATGAACGTGTGTGGTTTATTTGGGGGGGGGGGAAGGGGGGCGGATGAGGCATTGAAGCCCAAGGAGGAAACCGTGGATTTTCTTTCCTTTGGGCTGTGATACTGAGATTGTTGTGGAAGAATTTTGTGTGAGCCTGTGTTCGGCTTTGATTTCCTCGGTCTTTCAAGATTCACATAGATTCATGACACTCATCTGATGATAGCATGGTGATGGATGTTTGGAACAACGCAGGACAAGGATTGCTTCAATAACAATGGATGCGGGCTAGCCACTAGAATGCCCCAATTTCATATTAAGAGAGTTATCAATTTAGTATGGATTGTGTTTGTGCATACCAGTACACAAGAGTATGGTTAAGTTGCTTATATATAGGGTGTCCCCCAAAATGTATACGTGCACTTTGAATGATTATAAAGGCAGTGTTTATTAAAATATATTTCTTTTTCAAAATTGAACTATTAGCTGTTCAAGTATATATACATTTGGGGGGGAGGGAGGTGGCACAGACTTAAAAGTCCACACTTGTGGTTCCAATAATGCTCTTTACCAGAGAATTGAGTTAAATGCAGCCTTTATGTAAATACTGGGTTAATAAGATGAAATGTAACTTAGAGAAAAATTCAGCTTTGCTATTTGTACTGATTACTAAGGCTTTCACATATATTGATTGGCCCGCCGATTTGGTTTCCTATTACCATGACAATGGGGGGGGATATTACATTACCATGGAACAGCTTTCCTGGAAACCGTATTTAGACATTGGAAGTGAACTAGTTTTTAATGTTAAGAAAAGGTCAAGTGTGAGCCTGAAAG